ATAATAATTACCCTTCACATAATCGAACTCATTCCATCATGTAATAACTTCTACTAGAAAAACTGCTATTCATAATTACTATTAATAAAATAGCCTTAACTATGAGTAACAGGTAACATACAAAAATATTTTATGACCACTCTGCCTTACGTCACCAACTGGATATCAATGCTGTTATCAATGTTTTCGGTCCTTAAATATGTTCTTGACATCTTTACAAATATTAAATAAGCTTTTCAAATACAGACAGAAACAAGAGCTGGCCAGATGAGCCCTAGTGTTCAGCGAAAGGTCTCGTCGGTACTGAATATAGCAGATATAGTGTGGTTTACAAATTATTACATACAAGTTGAGGTACCCGTCCTTTGTCCGAGTTATGAACTAAAAAAAATGTGGGGGTGGATGGTATGATAAATAACACAAAAATCCTAACTTTCACATAATTTATTTATAACATAACATATTATTACAGTATTCATTATTACTTCACCAAAAGTTTTGAATAAGCTTTACGAACTCAATGTTTATAGCCCCCCAGTGGCACAACGGTATGTCTGCGGACGTACAATGCAAGAAAGCGGGTTTCGATACCCGTGGCGGGCAGAGCACAGATAGCCCATTGTGTAGCTTTGTGCTTAACTTCAAACAAACAAACAATATTTATATACTTAAAGCACGGTGTACACTGTATGATGGTCAAGGTGACTTTGTAGGAAGAGGTCACTAGTGGCCAGAGTAGTGGAGGTAGGGGTGCTTTCTGTTACCCACTTTCAACACCCAGCTCTTAATGTCCTGCCACAGTGTTTCACGTGATTAATTAATTGGCAGTCATTGGCCGCAGAAGTTTCTTAAGGGCCAAAGTTGAAAGGCCACGGGTCAAAGTAGGAAGTGGGTATAACTCAAGAAAGGCTCTTCATATCAGCCATATGGTGGCTGTTGGAATAGACACGTCACCACAATTCATGTGTTATTGTAATAATGGCGGCCTTTTTTCCCATTGCATTTCACCATAGAGAGTGCTATTGCACTCTCTGAGATATATAAGATGCTTGTGTGCCCTCCCCCACACTGTGTGTATGTTGTTTTATAGAAAATGTAATAAAGTTTTTTTTGTTCTTGGTTTAAGGACGTAACTCCATCGATTAATGTAATTAACGTTAACTTACGTTAAAGATAATAAATGCTAAATAACAACAATAATGTGGGGAGGGATGTAAGAGTTGTGTACCCCCATTAACATGCCCCTTGTTACAAACTATGATTCCACAATGTTTGGTTGAGATTGGCCCAGCGATCTAGGAGTAGTTAGATAACGGACAAACAGACAGACACAATTTTTTTTGTATGCGTTATATATATATAAATTTTTCTCTGCTGTTTTGCCCTGACTACCATTATCTTTTCTTCCTCAAGCTTTTAGAAGGAAGGGCTAGAGTGGGACGTTGAATAAAATATTAAATTTTTCAATCATTCAGACTTGCGCCCATAACTTTAAAAATGTATTTTTAGCAGTGTCAAGTAATTTGGGATTATGTTACAGCATGATTAGGGAGCTTGCGAATAAGATCAATATAAGTGTTTTTTTTTACTTCAAATAATACTTTTCATCTTTCGAAAACTAATTACATACCTTCTAACAGTCGAAATATACCTTCGATTCTGATAAATATCAGAATATACTGAAAAGAACCAGGACAGTAAGTAATAATAAATAATGGGAAAACGTATGCAAATGTGGAAGATGTTAAAGAGGACATCAACATGTTTTTTGCTTCAAAGCCAAATGATTTCTTTAATCAGGGCATTAACAACCTGATTGTAAGATGGAAAAGTATCATCGTTAAGAATGGATACTATTTCATTTGATAAGTGTTTTGTTTTGATATATAAGTTGTTCGGGTTTTTTCAACTAAAAAAAAGCGACATTAATTTCTTGACGACCTAATATTAGGAATTACGAATTAAAATCAACGTTTCTCTGCTGGTCATTTGATATCTTTTCTATTAACACATGGATAATATTATATTTGATTTTATGGTTTTATATTTTGAATACTTAAAAAGTATTTGAATATCGGCTCTTGTTTTTCCCTGGCTTTGAAGGCTCGTTTATTATTTGTGTAGCATTACACATGAATTCTAAGAACGACAAGAAGATATGTATTTGTAATAATATATTTTAATTTCATTATTAATCAACAGATGGCAGTTCAATTCACTTAAGTGAATGATATTGGGGCTCAGTTTGGTTTATAATAATATCATCTTTGATTTTTACTTCAATGAGTACCTTACCCTCTAAACCATCCCTTATTACCTATATTCATCCTGAAATGAATTTTGATGACTAACCTAAGGCACTCGAGAGATTTCACAAGTGTTTCAAAGTTTATTTTAGTAATATATTTAACTCACTTTTCTTACACTGGTTACAATGATAATTTCGTGTGTTGTTTTATAATACAATGTTTTACAAAGGCAAAAACTGGAAAAGGAAAGTATAACCGTACGACAGTGTAGTATGTCATTTCTGAGTGAATCTGATTATTCATTATGATAAAAAAACAATAAATAAACTTATCTACAATTAAAATAAGAAATAATTTTGATGTTTGAATCTAGAATAAATGGAATCTGTCATTTCACGGCGAAGATTAACAGCACCACATATTCGATGTCTTTCTCCTAATTTTTATTTAGCTTAATAAATTTGTGAATGCTCAGTATAAATTTGCTGTGAATAATTCACTACATTTAAAATGAGATGTAATAAAATTTTGCCATAAGGTGGCGGGGTTTATTTGCTCGATATTCAAACATCAACTTTTATGCTTTTTATACTATCACATTTATGTGAAAGGCCCGGCATGGCCAGGTAGTTAGGGCGCTCGACTCGCAATCTGAGGTTCGCGGGTTCGAATCCCCGTCACGCCAAAAATGCTCGCCCTTTCAGCCGTGGGGGGCGTTATAATGTGACGGTCAATCCCACTATTCGTTGGTAAAAGAGTAGCCCAAGAGTTGGCGGTGGGTGGGGGCAAAACGAATACGTGTTAATCTTTTGGGTCTACATCACATTATTTGCATCTAGAAGTCACCCAAAGTCAAAATCGGTTAAATTGTGTTTTTTTTGTTTTTTTTTTGAAAATCGCTAAGTTGAAAGTTCTGTTAATTTGAAAAGGCAAAGGTTTACCAAAATGGTTGCTGTTTATAAGCAATCTGTACACTTGAATGTACTATATAAACAGAGTTTCAACTCACTAATTTCTTGCTTTTCGCTACAGGAGGCGCTTAAATTACTAAAGAACATAATGTTTTTGGTATTTCAAATGACCATGCAAATATAAGGCAAGGGTGTACAAATAAAAGTTTTTAATAGGTCTAGTGCATCAGAATTTGTCTTGCGTTAAATATGATATTTACACCAGTACATACTTGCCTTTTCTCAACAGTAAAATTCTTACCCGAAGTTTTTCAGTTTTGACCACTTCTCGCACCCTTCTCCCTAAAAAAGGCAAAGGTCAGTAGAAAAAGGTATATTCAGTTTTACAGCTCGGATCCTCTGTCGATGGATCCACTTAATCGATCAAAAATATCAATTAGGTGTTATAGCCCAAGTTATCATCCCATTACAATTACCTTATGGAGTTTGCTTTTTAATAATTACTTTTTTATATTCTAAATACCATGCATTAGATCACCCGTTTTTTTCGAAATTTCTGTTGTTATTTTTTCATTTTAGTTTGGATGCAAATTCACTCAACATTCCCCAGTGTACATGGCAAGCAAATTTTCTAACTGGCAACTAGCCAAGTTTTCTTATAGGAAAAATAATTTGTATTGTTTCACAAAAGTGCCGCAACACCCTAGTGAGTCGCAAGTGAATTGATATCTTGCCACTAAAAATTCCTCTTTTGTAAAACATAAAGTAATTAATAGTAGTAAAATACGTTAGAATAACAATTTCAATGTGATGACCAAGTGATGATAGAATCACGGGGCGTTTTATTTACCACGGTATGCTTTACAGGTGTTTGTGTGTGTTGTTTTAAACTTAACTTCACTATGAGCGCCGCAACTAGTGGAGTGAAAAATTTTTTAAATCTTTTTAATTATTAGAATGTGTAGCTTTGCGCTTAACAACAAATAAACAGACTAAAAAAGATCAGGCAGTCTGTGATGTATGACTTCTTCAATTTGGCTGATTTTTTTTTCATGGTTGGCTATAGTTTATAGTTTCTATAGGTGATCTGTAAAGTTATAGTTTCTATAGGCGATCTGTAAAGTGATAGTTTCTACTTGGTGATCTGTAAAGTTATAGTTTCTATAGGTGATCTGTAAAGCTATAGTTTCTACTTGATGATCTGTAAAGTTATAGTTTCTACTTGATGATCTGTAAAGTTATAGTTTCTACAGGTGATTTGTAAAGTTATAGTTTGTACTTGGTGATCTGTAAAGTTATAGTTTCTACTTGGTGATATATAAAGTCATAGTTTCTACAGGTGTTTGTAAAGTGGTAGTTTCTACTTGGTGATCTGTAAAGTGATAGTTTCTACTTGGTGATCTGTGAAGTTATAGTTTCTGCTTGGTGATCTGTAAAGTGGTAGTTTGTACTTGGTGATCTGTAAAGTTATAGTTTCTATAGGTGATCTGTAAAGTTATAGTTTCTATAGGTGATCTGTAAAGTTATAGTTTCTACTTGGCGATCTGTAAAGTTATAGTTTCTATAGGTGATCTGTTTCTATAGGTGATCTGTAGATCTCTCTACTAGGTGAATCATCTTCTGGTTATTTGTATTTATATTTATTTGAATTTTCAGTGAGCAATAAGAGGATAAACTAATGTGTTTAAAATAATGTTGTCGGTTTTTATTTATGTATTTATTTCTATTGCAAGATCAAACTTTTATGCCATTCCTAGTTTTATAACTCTGGCCATAGCTTCGTACGTAAAAAGCTGATTACTGACCCATCTCTGACTGTTGTCCACTTTATTTCTTGCAGGAATATCAACAATGACTCTGCGTTACTTTATTGTAGCTGATATCACAGATAGAAGCAGTGTTGTTATCAACGTTTTTAATTCGCTCTCTTTCCTAGTAGGCTTACTGTCTAATGTTGGTATGTTCATTGTGGCAGTGTATCCGGTTGGTTTCAATTATGACGAGAAGAGTGAAGAATGGGTAAGTGATGACCTCATATGGTTGTGGTTTCATAGACATCTGATGGATAGCAGATCGTAGAGGGTCATAATTTCTTAACACTGTCCCCATGATCAACAAAACTTGTGAAATCATAGATGTACAGCATTTTCTGTACATTAGTCCGTGAGAAAACTCATTGAAATTTGTCCGGTTTGATTCCTGTGGTGAAGAATAAGTATCTGATATATTTGTATCTACATAAAAGATAAATAACTGATGTCATATATTTTTTTCAATATCAAACAGATAAAGATATTTATAAATATTCAGTAATAAAATTCATACATATCTTGTTATGTACTCTTGTTTGTAGAGCACCGGTAATTTGTTCTTTGAAAGTAATTCATTATATTTTTAAATTAGATTTATTTTTAAGTATCATTACAAGCAGATGATAAATGAAATATAAAGGATTAAAATTAGCCACCGAGTTTTAAATAAAATGTTTAGCTACTTTCCTAGAAACTGAACAAATGCTGCGGTTATGTTGTTTGTTCGGAGACCAATAATAACCCTAAAATATCGTTATTGTATTGTCGAAATATATGCTTTATGTTGACGGTATCCCTCAGCAATCAAATACAAACAATAAATGATAGCTTATTTTTCATAAGTCATACTAATGAACATTTCATTAATTAATTTTTGTTTTTAAAGAAAACACAGATTCTTCTACCACACTCAATTGGAGCTTTTATGCTTTTCATAGTAGGGGTGGCTTATACCCTACTTCAGACGATAATAACCTATTTCATGTACCCTAAACACAACGGCTTACCTGTATTCTTTATCCGGCTAGCTTGTGGAGTTCTTTCGTTAGCGTCGTTAATAACCAGTATCCTTTTTGTTTAGTTTGTTTCCCTATTATTGTTATCTGCGCTTATATTCCGTTTCTGTAAGTAGCTTTAATACTAAAAGTTGTTAATTTAACAATACACGTGTCACCATAATTCCTAAGAAAACCTTTACAGATCACCTATAGAAACTATAACTTTACAGATCACCAAGTAGAAACTATAACTTTACAGATCACCAAGTAGAAACTATAACTTTACAGATCACCAAGTACAAACTATAAATTTACAGATCACCTGTAGAAACTATAACTTTACTAGATCATCAAGTAGAAACTATAACTTTACAAATCATCAAGTAGAAACTATAACTCTACAGATCACCAAGTACAAACTATAACTTTACAGATCACCTGTAAAAACTATAACTTTACAGATCACCTGTAGAAACTATAACTTTACATATCACTTGTAGAAACTACCACTTTATAAATCACCTGTAGAAACTATGACTTTATATGTCACCTGTAGAAACTACCACTTTATAA